TGGATCGGAGCTAAGAACAGTGAGAGGACGAGAGTTTAGTAAACATTCTATTTGAGCGAGGATTGTGATTAACTCCTCATACGCAAGGATCTGCTGTCCAATAATCTTAAAAAGATGGTTCTTTACACATTTTACCATACTCTCCCAACAACCACCGAAATGTGGGGCGGCAGGCGCTATAAACTTGAATTCAATGCGACTTTCGGCCAATTGTTCTTCTAAACGCGGGCGGTATTCCTTTGTAACAAAATTATATAAATCTCGTAAATAAGATCGAGTGCCTATAAAATTTGTTCCACGATCAGAGCAAAGACATTTCACGGGACCCCGTCGCGATAGGAAGCGCTTTAAAGCTGCGATAACACTCACAGTGGAAAGATCCGTGGCTACTTCGATGTGGAGTGCGCGCGTAATAAGACAAGTAAATATGCATAGGTAAGCCTTGCGATTTTTAACACCTCGAGCTCGTATGGGCGTATACAATATAGGGCCGCAATAATTACAACCAGTATGAGCGAAAGCTTTCTCCGCTTGCGTGACTCTATGTCCCGGCAGAGCAGACATTAAAGGAAATCGCGGGCGCGGTTTTAATTTAAAGCAAGTGTTACACTTATTAATTCTAGACCGAATAATTCGTCTAGCGGACAAGATCCAAAATCGTTGTCTTAACAAAGACATGAGCAGCTCTGGGCCGGCATGTAAATATTTCTTGTGATAGTAGTCGATCAAAGACTCTACAAGAGCGTCATGACGCGGTAAAATAATCGGAAATTTGTATTCTGAACTTTCAGCGGAGTTGGTAAGGCGGCCACCAACGTGGATGAGGCCATCGCATAAAAATGGCTTAAGCTTCATTAACGCGGGCGAGCAATTACTACCGGCTCCCAGCTGATATTTCTTTAATTTTTTAGCAAGGAAATAAGCTGGTGCACCTATATATGAGACAACTGGACGAGTCGGAAAATGTTCTTTATGTATTTTTGGTAACCCATATAAAATGGGTGCTTGAGAATTCATTGGAACAAGACTGCTCCGAGACAAGTTGTGATCGGAAAAAATATAAGATGACTGTTGTATACATAATTTAATATCCGAAGTAAACTTTTTGGTTGGTTTCGACTCCAATAGCTCAAAATCGTCACCTTGGATAACATAGTTAACTTTCTGACTGTACCCACTACTCTCCATAATAACAACAGTACTGCCTTTATCGGCTTTAGTAATAATAAGGTCGTTTTCCCTTATTCTCTGCTTTAGGGACTTAAAAACAGTGAACTCAGTATTGAAATGGGAAGACTTTCATTAGCTACCAAACTTTTACCGATGTTATCTTTCTTCCCGATCACAACAGCCATCTCTGCGTCAACAGCCATAGTCTGTAACGATTTTTGGGAGACCAAAGCGTGTTAAATTATACTTTAGGCCTTTGTGTAAAAGGGACAACTCATCTCTTGGAAACTAGACATCGGAAATATTTTTAACTCGGGGATAAAATTGGTGATATTCTGTATGTATGTCGTTATTACGATTACGGGATGAAGAGGATACAAGTCGTTGTAATTTACGGGACTGAATTTGATATTTCTCATAAACAGCCATTGAAGCAAGTTCTCTGGCTTTTCCATCCAAAATATCAAATTCAATATTATGTAATTTATATTACAGTTCAGAGTATAATTATTTAAGGTGGATTTTTAAATTATCTCTATTGGAAAACCAACGACGACACTCCTCATTAAGCCAAATATTCTGAGCTTTAAAAATAGCAATACTGGCCGCTCGACTATTTGTGCCGGAACGTATTTGAATATAATTGGGAATAACATGTAGTTGTTTGCACTGCTGATTGAACCAAACATTTTTAAAGTCTTACATACGTGTAATAAAGGGCTGCGGCTGTGTGTGCTGGAACAGTTAGAGATATTAAAAAGTATTAATAGTAACGTTGCACTGCTGAATGAACAAATTTAACTAACTCACCTCTCTTAAATATCTTTAAGCCTGCTCTCTTATAATAGAGAGCCTCGCAATATGGTCGTTGTCACCCTCACGGTGATCGGCGATTGGTTGCGTGGTTGGTGGGTAAGCGGGCGTTGCGCAGCGGTTTGTTGTTAATTTTACAAACGGCTGCGTAAGTCCGGCGGTGATTGGTCGCATGTTTTATCGCATGACGGAGTTGCTCATTCCTTAAGTAGAGAGCGGTTGCGTCAGCGGTCTGTATAAATAGCAGTTGTTTTGGATCGCCGCTCACTTAGCGGTTAGCCACAAAAGAGTCTATATCACCTGAGGATGCCTCATGTAGAGGTGAAACACGTGTCGTATTGTGCAGTTTTGTGCAGTCGTACTTCGGCAGTGGTGTGTCTTTCCTAGTGTAGTGGTGCTGGGAGTAGTGGTGCTGGGATTAGTGGTGACGGGGATAGTGCACGCAATAGAGGTAGGGTAGGAGTTGCTCTTCAAACTAGGTAAGACACATCATTTTATTTTATCTAGCGGATGTACGCAAAGTAATTTTTGTCAAATTTAATTTAGGTTATATACTGTTTAAAATAAAGAATGTTTTCAATTATTTTGTTAATTTTGATATTTTGCAAAGAAAAAAGACACGTTGTTGATAATTTGCATGAAATACATTTTTATAGAAAATATTAAATACGCTAGGGATTGGCTGAACTATATCAAAATTAAAGTCGATATTTATTATAAATGTTTATATTGAATCGATAGACTTGCCCATACAACAAGAAAATAAATCCTCGGTTTGCGTTTTATAAATGAAATTTTATTTTACCGTTTGTCAAACAGATTCCCTCCGGATTATGTAATTAGAAAAAATGGTTAAGTTTAATTGGGCGGGTTGGTTGGAATCCAAAGAAAAACTCAACAATTTGCAGCAAACCTTTACTTGAAAAGTATAAAAGAAAAAGTTGAATAAAAACAATTTTATTAAAAGGAGTTATTTCTGTATTATGTAAGTAGTAGTATATTTATCGGCGCAAGAGGTCAGCCGCGATGAGACCTGACGCGATATCGTCAGATCACGTGACGCGCTTGTTCTTCCGCTACTCAACTGTATAAAATGGGCGTGCACTGCCTGTTGCGGGCACTCACTCGCTAGCACTGATCGCGATATAGTCGTAACGCGTAAACTATTGTGAGTGTTTTTAGTAAAGTAAAATAGTCCTAATACTTAATAAATGTGAAGCGATTACTTTGTGAATGATCTAATTAAATTATGTACATATAATTATTTGATTTGTATAATTAAACTGTGAACAAACAATTGTGTGATTATTTTGTGAAATTGAACTGTGTGCCAATAATTATGTAATCCATAAAAAATTATCAACATGGAAGGCAGTGGTTTTAACGACAATGAATCACACCCGCCTTCAACATCAGAAGTGGGATGCATCAACGCCAACAATCTTCGGCCTCAACAAGCAATACGATGATGTCAATCTTAGCAAACACATTCAAAGGTACATTGTGAGAAATTATGACGCAGATGTCTCAGGACAACCGTTATGCCTTTTCAGAAATATTAAAGATGATACAACCGGATGATCAGCCTAAAGTTCGAATATCTGACGTGTCTTTTTCATCTTTTGATCCTGATAAAGGTATGGATGTAAGAGACTGGGTGGATTTAATATCCAGGACGCAAAGCGAATATTATTTGAAGGACCATGAAGTGCGACTTAAAGCAGCTAGTATTCTTAAAGCTAGACTTGGACTAATGACTGCTTACTTTGAACGACTACCTGGACTGAAATGAAAGATGATATGCTCCAGAGTTTTGAGCCAAAAACAAGGTACTTTTTGAATGTTTTAAAATTTCGACGATACACAACTGATGATGCTGACAGTATCTCTGAATATATTTGAAATGTTTGGAGGATGTTTAGAAAATTAGTAAAACCAAATCCAACTGAACAAGATGCTGTTGAATTTGTCATTGGAAGCATTACTGATGACGCGCTTCGTACCGAGATTTTTAACAGTAAGTCGAATACCGTATCCGAATTAAATGCTATAGTAAAAACTATGCGGAAACATAAGCTTTCAACTGCTGAAACGGATGTACATAATAAAAGGATAAAAAACAACAATCAAAACTTAACATGTTTTGTGTGTGGTAAGACGGGACACAGAGCTCGATGGTGTAATCAAAATGCTTGTGCTAAATCACACAGTGAAAACGATACGACTGCTTCAACGGAAGAGAAGAATAAGAAACAATGTTCCTAGTACTCCATCCCTGGGCATACATATGAAACATGTTTTAAGCGAATCAACGCAGAGAAGAACGTGAATGTTTGCCAAACAGGTAACGATATTTTGAATACCTTTGCTGTTAAAATAGGATGTGTTAATTTGAAGGCTCTATTTGATAGTGGAGCCGATTGTTCATTGGTGAGGGAGTCGGTAGCATTAATGCTGCCGGGCACTCGTTCAACCATAATAACTTACTTAAAAGATATTGGGTCTGTGCCCGTTATTTCTGTATACCTAATAACAACTGTGTGCAACATAAATGACTTTAACATATAACTAAATCTTTACGTTGTACTGGATCATGAGATACCAGCTGATATCCTTATTGGGAAAGACTTATTAATTACTCCTGGAATCAAAATAACACTTACAAGAGGCGGAATAGACAACAGAGGTAAAAAAATTGTAGCGAAAGCAAGTGTTTATCATATTTTCTTCATTTATATTTTCTTCAAATTATATTAACACAGATGTAAAAGGAGAGGAGGAACTTTGATTGATTTACTGGAAAATTACAGAAAGTCATTCTCAGATGGTGCTTCTGAAACGAGAATAACTACAGGTGATTTACAAATCCGACTTAAAAACCCAGACAAAGTAGTAAACCGGCGACCATATAGTAGTGCCAACTAGTTGAACGAGAGAAGGTTCAGAGGATCGTTCAGGATTTACTAAGCAAAAATATTATTCGAGGGAGCAATTCACCGTTTGCTAGCCCAATCATTATGGTCAAAAATGGAGAGGACCGCTTGTGCGTAGATTATAGAGAGTTGAATGTGAACACAGTAAGAGATCATTATCCACTGCCACTCATCTCTGAACAACTGGACCAACTAGCAGAAGCCAAATATTTTACATGTCTGGATATGGCCGCAGGGTTTCATCAAATACCAATTGAACCAAATTCCATTGAGAAGACTGCATTCATTACTCCAGACGGGCAATATGATTACCTTACGATGCCTTGTGGGTTTACCAATGCTCCATCAGTATATCAAAGAGCAATCAACAAAGCATTAGGAGATTTAAGAGGAAAAACCGCTCTAGTTTACATGGACGATATCTTGATTCCCAGTAAAACCATCGTAGAAGCCATTGCAAAACTAGAACTGGTATTGGAAGCCCTGGCGAAAGCTGGTTTTGCTATAAATAAAAAGGAATGCGCCTTTTTGAAGAGTGCAATTGAATATCTTGGATTTATGGTAAGCAATGGCAAAATTAGACCCAGTCCGACGAAAGTAGAGGCCTTAGCTAAATCTCCTCCTCCAACAAACATCAAACAGCTAAGGCAGTTTAATGGCTTGGCGGGATATTTTCGGTGCTTCATACCCAGGTTTTCAACTGAACTGGTTCCTCTCTATAATTTAACCAAATTAGGAGCGACATGGGAATGGACGCCAAAACATGAAGCTGTTCGCTCCAAAATTATAAAGTATCTCACATCGGCACCGCTACTCACTATTTGTAAGAGTGTAACCCAACAGAATTACATACCGATGCTAATTCTTTCGGATTTGGAGCAGTTCTAATCCAAATAAAAGATGGGATTCGTCATATCATCGGCTATTTTAGCATGAAAACAACCCTTGCAGAATCGAAATACCATAGCTACGATCTAGAGACTTTGGCAATAGTAAGATCTATCAAGCACTTTCGTCATTTTCTGTACGGGAGAAAATTTACTGTCGTAACAGACTGTAATGCCATCAAAGCATCTCCGTAAGAACAAGAATTGTTACCCAGAATTCACAGATGGTGGGAATTTTTACAAAACTTCGACTTTGAAGTGGAATATCGAAAAGGCGAGAAGCTACATGCTGATTTTTTTAGTCTGAATCCTCTTCATACCGCCATGAGTATAACAACTAAAGACGACGGGTTGATAATGGAACAAAATCGAGATCCAGGGATGCGGCAGATTATTCATGATATCCAGGAAAATCATCAATCTCATGATGAAAATGAAATTAAAGATAACATCCTCTACCATAAGAGTAATCTAACAAATAAAATAAAATTAACAAAAATTGTACCCCAATCTTACCAATGGAGCTTAATCAACATATATCACCAAGCGGTAAAGCATATATGGGTTAGGAAAAGATTTTGGCAAAACTAAAAGAAAACTTTTGGTTTCCTAGAATGTCATCAACTGTAAGATACTTTGTAGATCACTGTATTGTGTGCAAGACCATGAAGGGATCATCTGGACCCATACAAAGCAGGCTACATCCTATAGAAAAGGTACCTAAGCCTTTCCATACTCTATACATAGAAATTTCCGGTAAACTGAGTGGTGCATCTACTCAAAAAGAGTACTTTTCTGTAGCAATCGATGCCTACACAAAATTCGTTATACTACAACATGCTAAAAGCAAATCTCAAGCAGGCGCACTGCAACACCTCAAAGATATTGTCTTCCTCTTTGGCACACCAAAACGCATTGTCATCGATGAAAACGGTACTTTCGTATCGCACTATAAAGTGTATTGCTAAGAATATGTAATTGAATTACATGAATGTGCTGGTTATACAAGTAGAGGAAATGTCCAAGTGGAAAAAGTGATGAGAATAATAAAGAATGGCCTGACTGTCATAAAAAATACGCAGAAGATACAATTGCAAAAATCGTTAGGTGCTTTGCAATTAGTAATAAACTGTAGTATCTCAAAAGCAACGGGCCAGACGTGGTATTCAGAGTAATATAGCCATATCGGCAATGAATAATGAATTCGAAAATTTCCCTACCTTCAGCTCACCGTTCTCTCTTGTGCCTAGTTTTGCGTTGAAGTCTCCCATTAACACCGTGTAGTGGGTTTTGGAGGAATGCATGGCTCTAGAAATATCGTCATACATTTCCTACCTTCAATGAATACCGTTTGGTAATTCTGAATATAACCTTCGTAAACACACTCACAATCTTTACAACGTTGCTAACGAGAGACCTATGGACGATAAATCCGACACCTCCTTGGGACTAATAGTCGCCATCTCGGTGATAGAATAAGTTGCCGGATTGGAGGATTACCGTGTCCTCGCCCTCTCCTCAGAGCTCGGATAATCCTATAATATACCAGCGTAACTTATCTATCTCTTCTTCCAGCTCCAGGATCTTCTCATCAATTCTCAGAGTGCGTGTGTTGTATGTTCCCAGGTCAAGTCGTCTTAGGTGGCAACCGAATCTCCACCGGAGATTCTTAGCACCCCCTGCCCCGCCGTTACCATGGTCACCACCGTAGCCAGGAGTAGCGGGGCCGCCGGGGACTGCGGGCCGTCTCTTCGTAACTTTCATTTCATGGGGGGATACTTGCCATATCTGCCACGCTTGGCGAGCGGGTTGGCAACCGCAGTTTCTTTATTGTAATCTTGCTGTTATCAGGAAGATGCTGCTGTTTCCCACTATCGCGTCTGACGCCACCCACGATAAGATATGAGGTGGTGGATATTCTTAACCACCACCACACGGCTACTAACTGAAATAGATCTAAAATTAGCAGGGTTCAATATAATAATTTCCTCTTAACAGCTTTCGCAGCCAGGACTTCAATTCTTCAATATACTTCATTTTTACGTAGTAAAGACACGCTGTAGCTATATTATGGCTGTTGCACGAATAAATCGGCTCGATTGGGGAAGGCCTACGCTCTCACAGAATATAAGCGAAATGTCTGTGATGTAGATGCCTATGGGTCACAGCATCCACTTAATATCAGGTGGACTGGGTGCTCATTTTTCACCCTTATTCTATAAACAAAAACTCTTTCTTAGCACCGACTTCAGAAGCTATTATGTGGAAATTATTCTATTCTATTTAGTTTTTGAAGTTAGATTTAAATTTTTGCTAATAGTCTTAATTTTCTCCAAAACTCAATTGTCTTTGACAGTGCATGCCACTAATTGATGATAATTATAAACGAGATTTTGCTAATCGTATGATGACGAAATATTCAACTTTACCAACAAACCCGCTACACTGCAGCCGAAAGTTTAGCCACTGCGCTATCAGACTATACATACAGACATATACTATAATAGACACTATTTTATACTATTTCTCACTTAACAAGTATATGGGCTTTTACTTTTATAACGTGCTACATTGCAGCTGGGAGCATTAACCGTCGTTGAAATTACGATACAATTTATAGTAACTAAATGATTTTGTGAAAGAACTGAAACAACCTCGTTTCAACGGTGCGAAACAGGTACTTTAAACTTTAAATCGCATACAAAAACGAATTGAAATTTAATTTAAAAGTAAATGCATACCTTGACATTATTGTCACACGCCACATATACGCGCATGGTTCAGCTAATGTGTTACGTTCTATTAACATATCTCCTCCGGTGATTGGCTGGTTTCATAGTTATCTTTACGGCCGACGGCAGCGTGTTCGCATCGAAGATGAGTTCTCATCTTGGTGCGAATTACGGGCTGGAGTGCCTCAGGGTGGTGTGCTGTCTCCTTTACTTTTTGCTATATTCATTAATTCTATCTCTCAAAATATTACTTCTCTCTATCACATGTATGCAGACGATCTCCAAATCTACACTCAGTCAACTCTGTTAAATCTGCCTTCTGCTGTTGCCACCATCAACAATGACCTAGCGGCGATAAACCAGTGGAGTCAGCGTTATGGTCTAAAAATTAATCCGTTCAAGTCCCAGGCTATAGTTATTGGTGGTGGAGGGATGGTCTCCAGAGTTGACTGGAACAACCTACCCTCGGTGACACTAAATGACGTTGTCATACCCTACAGTAAATCTGTAAAAAATCTGGGAATATATCTAGATTCTACCTTGTCGTGGTCGCAGCAGTTAAAACAAGTGAGCAAAAAGGTGTTTGCTACTATGGGTTTACTTCGTCGCTTACGTTCTTTTCTCCCCATTCCCACTAAGATTATGTTAGCACAATCCTTACTTCTCTCTATTCTCGATTATGCGGACGCAAGTTATCTCGATTTAACTGAAGACCAACTGAACAAACTTGAGCGAATTCAAAATATTGCTATTAGGTTCATATTTGGTTTGCGTAAATATGATCATGTATCCGAATATCGTTTACAGCTCAAGTGGTTACCCATTCGCTTTCGCCGGAATCTGCAAACTGTATCTCTTTTGTACTGTGTGTTGTTCAATCCTTTGACTCCAAGCTACTTGAAGGAAAACTTTAAGTTTCTTGGTCATGATCGACCTGATAGAGTTCTTCGGTCAGCCGGCGAACTAATTCTAGAACCATGTTCATTTCGAACAAAATTTATGAAATATTCTTTTACGAGCCAAGCCATAAGGTTATGGAATGAACTTCCACTCCAAATTCAACGTGCTCAAACTTTGAAAAGATTCAAAAGTGACGTCAAGAAGCATTACCTAACACTTTGTGGTTATTGATAACCAATTCTAGCAATATTTATTATCTTTGTATATATATGTATGTGTATATATTTGTATATATATATATATATATATATATATATATATATATATGTATATATATATATATGTGTATATATATATGTATATATATATATATATATATATATATATATATATATACCTATTTATTAATATGTATGTTTATTTTATTATTATTTTTTATGTATTATTGTGGTATTTTAACAAAATATAGTTTAGTTTATTTATATATTAGTATGTAAGTGTAACATAAAGCGCACCACCTCCTACTGTTCTTAATTCCAGTTTCTCTTTAGCCCAAAGGTTGTCTGGAAGAGATCGCTCTTTAGCGATAAGACCGCCTTATTGTACATACGTATATATTAAGTTTTCTCTGTAATGTATTTATTCGTTGTATATGTGTGGTGTACAATAAAGTATATACTACTACTACTACTACTAATTTTGTTAGTGACAAAAAATACAGTTACCGTTACCGTTACAGCTTATTTCACCCGTACTTAGGGCCTTACACTAAGAGCGGGTGAAATACCTAAATTATTAGATATTTAAGTAAAAAAATCACAATAGCTGTTGATTTATTCCGCAAAGAAAAATATATGGTGACAGGAGAGGGTTTAATAAATGTTTTTAATTGTATAAAATTGTATTTTTGTCAACCCTTTATTAGGAAAAAATCTTTGTCATATTTTGCAAAATTTCTCCAAACTGCACAAGCTGCCTACGTGGTAGAGCCATGCTGCAGCTATATTAATAGTATAGTTGTAGCACGAATGGGTCGGCTCGACCGGGGAAGGACCACGCTCTCACAGAATACCAGCGTAAAATAGCAGCTTAATGCTGCTGTGTTTCGTATGGTGAGTGTGGAGAACCGGAGACCCCCTTTTACTGGAAAAGAGGCATTCCATCTTAGTCATCACGGCTGACAACGCATCTGCATTTTAATTCTCAAACGAAGATAGATGTAGATGTCTATGGGCCACAGCAGCCACTTACCATCAGGTGGGCTGTGTGCTCGTTTGTCATCCTTATTCTATAAAAAAGAAAAACAAGCTCTTTAAATAGTTTTACACTAAAAAATCTTAAAAATATTTATATTTTTAATTGAGAGTTTTATTTTTATTCCACGTTTTACTAGAGAAAATATTATTTTAGATATATTTGCGCGATTACGATATATTTGCGACACATGCTCTGTGCTGACCCGAGCTTTGATCAGTCTGTTTTCGGACATCGTCGAGGGTGAACCGCGCGTCGGAATTGGAGCAATTTCGTTAACATATATTTTAGTTTTTTTCAGAGCTTATACTCTAGAAACGTTCTAGACTCTATAGAAAATGTGGCGTATGAAAGGACTGACACAATCACTAGAATATTTTATCTAGGTACAAATATGTTTTACGTTTTTTTGTTCTGCACATGACATTTTTCTCAGCATTAGGTATCTAAAACGAATATGAATATAAAATATGTATACAATACAAAAGTAAAGTAACGGACTATGTAAGTCCCTCTGCTGAGCACAGTACCCCTCTTATTTCTGAGAGGGTTTTAGGACAAGGAAATGAAAATTCACGTTTTCGAAAAAAAAATCTTATTCCTCAGACATGCCGGTTTCCTTACGATGATTTCTTTCACTGTAGAGCACGTGCTAACTCAACACTTAAAATTGCAATAAAAATTTCAAACCCGGGCGAAATTTACAGCGAATGTTTAAACCCAGAGCTACTAACAAAACACAACTAAATACGATTCAACAAATATAATAAAAACACTTATGTACTTAAAATTAAAAAACTTGATAGCTCGTGATGCCGGACGAATTTACAGCACTACACTACACCGTGCAATGAAATTGAAGATGCTTAACACTGCGACATGACTGTCAGTGATGCGCAAGCATAATAGGCAGTATATCACTTATATGGTTGTCGCCGCTGCAGTCTTTTTTTTATAGGAGAGGGGGCAAACGAGCATGCGGCACACCTGATGGTAAGTGACTACCACCGCCCATGAACAACTGCCACACCAGGGGAACTAGGGGAATTGCAGATGCGTTGCCGGATTTTAAAAAAGGAGTA